ACACAGAGTTACTGTACCACAAATAATTGGTTGATGTTCATCCATTTCAGGAAGTAGCATATGATCAAGAACCAATGGTATTGAAGTATGACGTCAAACCTGCACCGAAGGAAGTGGCAAAAAACAAGTCTCCGGGAATTGATGGAATATCCATTGAGATGCTTCACCAAATGGATGCCACGCTTCTAACACTCACTTGGTTATGCCAAGAGATTTGGAAGACAGCTATCTGGACAACTGACTGAAAGAGATCCATATTTGTACCCATTCCAAAGAAATGTGATCCCACAGAATATGGAAATTATCAAACAATATCATTAATATCACATGCAAGTAAAATCTTTCTGAAGATAATTAAAAAATGGTTTCAGCAGTATATTGACAGAGAGCTTCCAGAAATGCAACCTGGATTCAGAAGAGGAAGTGGAATAAGGGATATCATTGCTGATGTCAGATGAATCTTGGCTGAAAGCAAAGAATACCAGAAAGATGTTTACTTGTGTTTTATTGACTATGCAAAAGCATTCGATTGTGTGGATCATAACAAATTATGGGTAACAATGAGAAGAATGGAAATTCCAGAGCACTTAATTGTACTCATGAGGAACCTGTACATTGACCAGGAGGCTGTCATTTGAAAAGAACAAGGGCATACTGTATGGTTTAAAATTGGGAAGGGAGTGTGTCAGAGTTGTATCCTTTCACCACACTTACTCAATCTGTATGCTGAGCAAATAATCTGAGAAGCTGGACTATATGAAGAAGAACATGGCATCAGGATTGGAGGAAGACTCATTAACAACCTACAATATGCAGATGACACAACTTTTTTGGCTGAAAGTGAGGATGACTTGAAGCACTTACTGATCAAGCACTTACTGATTATTAATCAAGCCTGCAGTTTGGATTACACCTCAGGATAAAGAAAACAAAAATCCTCACAACTGGACCAATAAACATCATGATAAATGGAGAAAAGATTGAAGTTGTCAAAGACTTCATATTACTTGGTTCTACAATCAACACCAATGGAAGCAGGAGTCAAGACATGAGATGATGTATTACATTGGGCAAATCTGTTGCAAAAGACCTTTTTCAAGTGCTGAAGAGCAAAGATATCTCCTTGAAGACTAAGGTGCACCTAAACCAAGCCATGGTATTTTCAGTCACCTCTTATGCATGTGAGAGATGGACAATAAATAAGGAAGATTGAAGAAGAGTTCATGCTTTTGAGCTGTGGTGTTGCAGAAGAATGCTAAGAGTATCATGGTCTGCTAAAAGGACTAACAAATCTGTCCTGGTTGAAGTGCAGCCAGAATGCTCCTTGGAAGCAAGAATGGTGAGACTTCATCTCACCTACTTTGGTCATGTTGTCAGAAGGGACCATTATCTGGAGAAGCATATCATGCTTGGTAAAGTGGAGGGTCAATGAAAAAAGGAAAGGCCCTCAACAAGGTGGATTGACACAGTGGCTGCAAAGATGGGCTTAGATATGGCGAGGATTGTGAAACTGGCACAAGACCAGGCAGTGTTTCATTCTGTTATACATTGAGTCACTGTGAGTCAGGAATGACTCGATGGCACTAACAACAACAACTTCTCATCTCAACAGTCCAGGTGTATGTGTGGGTGCACTAGTATGGTAGTGGAGGAGGGTTGGGTGATGATGCGTCTGGAGATGGACAAAGTTTGGAGAAACAGAATCATAATTAATAAGAAAGAACCTCTTTTTGTTCTTTCCATTCTGCTCCCCTCATTTCTCTTCCTACTCCCTCACAGACCCTTGGCCTCAGCTGTTTGTGTAGATACTTCATCTGCTACACTCATACAAAAAAAAAAAAAAAAAACCATGTGGACCAGGCTCTTAAAAAAAAAAAAAAAAAGCCACCATTTCTGTCTTGGCTCAGGCATCCTAGACCTGAGGAGCAAGGCAAGGAAAATAAAATGGGACTTGGCCCTGTGCAAATAGGGGGCCTGAGAGTTATGACATGGCGAGAGCCTGCCCTGAAGAAAAGAGTTAAAATGCAATGCTTTTCTAATACTGTGCTCACCAGAACATGTTGTTTGCAGTATGTAGCCCATAGCCAATTCCCAACTGGTCATGTAGTTCCACCTGCTGCTTGTTAGGCAAGAGGGCAGAGGCCAGAGGCAAGCACTGGGGAAGGTAGTTACCCAGGGGCTTCCAAAGCCTATAGAACTCTTAGTGTGAACAGCTATGCACTCACTGGGGGGTATTTGAGAATTTTATTATACAGCTCATGTAATATCACAATATAGTCAGCTTCTGGGGACAGTGATTATTTCTCATTTATGGAAATTTATAGAGTATTTGACCCCATAATAACATGAAGGACATGTGAGCAAGAAACTACAGACTTCCAGGAGAACAGAAAAACAGCAATAATAAAAATAACGATGACAACAACAAAATACCAGCTAAAATTTATTGAATATTTACTATACACCAGGCATGTTCCTAAACACTTTAATGCTCAAACAACATTAAAAGAGGGGCCCTATTATTTATCTTCATTATATAGACAAGAAGACTAAGGCTAATAGCTGTTAAGTGATTTGCCAGCTATGGCACAGCTGGTAAGTGTTAGAGCCAGGATTCCATGTAACTCTATCTGATGGCAAAGCCTGAATTATTAGTGATACAATTGCTTGTCTAATATGTTAGGCAATTTAATACTCAGTTTGTTCTGTTCATTCTTGTATTTCATCTAGATCAGGATTTCTGGGGTATCCCCAGAGCCTGAAGCTGTATCTACTAGCGTGGGGCTCTGGGGCACCCACGGGTAATGGCTCCATGGCATGGTGCTCTCTACAGAGGGAGCTGAGTGCTTCCAGGAAGAGTTTTCTGAAGGAGGAGGACACAGCATTGTAGAGGACAGGGGTCACTGCCGAGCTGACATAGAAAAGCGTATTAGTCACCATGTAGAAGTAGTGATAGAAATCATAGAGTGTCCTGGAAGAGAAACCCAGAGAGCTTGGTTAGAGAACCAGTCACCTTCTCACAGCATCCACCCCTTTCTCTGGTGAAGAATGTATTTGTCCTCCAAAGGATTAGGTGAGGAAGGACTGCTTCCTGCTGTCAAGAAGCATAATGTGAATTCAATAAATGCCATGTCTATACCAGCTGTCCTGGCTTGTCCATCCCATTCAGCCTCTATGATCACAGGCTGCCAGCTGCAGATCCCAGGCATCTTCACAGTAAAAGTAACATCTGCTAATTACCAGGGAAGTCCTTCCTGCCCACCAAGATCTTGGAAGTCTTGTCCAGCTGGGTGTGGCCAAGAACAAGTGAAATACCATGATGTGAAAGTCATCCTGATAAGCCGTGCCTTTTATTGCAGAAATTCTCTTTGAGAAATTCTCAAAGCCTTTACAAAAGGGCTTTGCACGCCTATGTATATGCACATGTGTGTGTAAGGAGTGTTGGTAGTTCCAGAGAATGTGGCACTTGTTGACTTGGAGGCCACATTGGACCTCTTAGACATTTGACTTCCACTTATGATCACAGATACAGTGATTTTCAAGTAGAGGATAAAAAACACTCTCTTACTCTCCAGCTTGTCATAAAAAGGTATGCAGGTTATGGTCTCTGTCTAAGGGCCTTTGTTAGCCCATGGAATCACAGATCTGAGTCTTCCTCTTTCTTTCCTTCAGCATGGCTTTCTCCTCCCTAGCCTTCAGACTTCCCTCTCTCCTCAGGATACCCACACTTCTGACTGACTACCACCAACAAAGGCTCTCACTCACATGTCCTTGAGAGTTCAGAGATTTATAGATAATGTCTTGTTCCCCAACCCCAGGTGGAAGATTTAAAGGTGCAGACTGAATAGGATCAGCTGAAATGGAGGCCAGAGGTGCAGAGAACCCAGCAACTGAGGGTCCCTCTGGAGAGCAATAGGCATCCAAGGCCATGCCCAATGAAATGTGGGGCTCTTCCACCACTTACTTGGTCCACCCATCATCAGTGATGTAGCAGTACATGAGCCTCCGGGTGTGGTATGGCAGCCAGCAGATGACATACACAGCTACAATGGCTCCTACAGAAAAATCGGAGAGAAAGACACAGCAACAGACAGAGAGCAAGCATGTCCTCAGTTATGTCATCTCCAGACAAGGAAGATGCCAGAAAGTGACAACAACATTTCTCTGTAACTTATAAGGGCTTAAGGGTTGGAAGAGAAACTTCAGGTTACTTAACTTAATACCCCTTATCTTCTCTTGTCCCCAAATTTTGCTTAGCTCTTTCTTCTGGGTAAATAGTCACTTCACCCATGACCTGAACAATGACTTCTATGAACTCCTCGTGGACACTAGAATATACACCTCACTTAGAACTCCCTGCCATTGAGTTGATTCTGACTCATAGCAACTCCTGCTGGGTTTCCAAGGCTGTAAATCTTCATGGAAGCATACAGCCTCATCTTTCTTCCATGTAGTGGCTGATGGATTTGAACCACTGACCTTTTGGTTAGCAGCCAAATGCCTCACCATTGCACAACTAGAGCACCATAGAATATACTCCTAGAATATACTTGATGATGGCTTGATGTTTCTGCTTTGTATCTAACTTCACATACAATAAAACTTAAATGTCTGTACTGTCTTACAAAGCCTGTCCCTTCTCTGTTCCTTTTTCTGATTGATAGCACCACTCTGCATCTAGCACTCAAGCCGTAAACCAGAGTGTTACTATTTTCTCCTCACTCTCTAAGTCTAGTCTATTAAAAGTTTCTCCTTGGCATCTCCCCATTCCTTCATCCTAACTCCCACAGCTCCACACTATGAGGTCCTTATCTTCTCCTCACAATTGTCTCCTTATTGGCCCTTTTGTCTCTAATCTTCTATCCCTTTCATCCATCCCTCCTATACCTGTCCTGACTAGCAATTTCATCCTCTAGTCCAGTGTGGCCCCATGGAGTAGCAGCATCAGCATCAACCAGAGTGTATTAGAAATGAAACATCTTGGGCCTTTCACAGATTTTCTGAATCAGAATCTGTGGGGTTGGGTCTAGGCATCTGTGTGTTGCAGCTCTCCAGGTAATTCTTACACACACTAAAGTTTGAAGAGCACAGTATATAGCCCATTTTCCAAAGAGCTACTGAGTGCAATACATCTAAAGAGCAAATCTTCCCTGTCACTCCTGGCATCAACACTTTCAATGACTGCCCATTTGCTATAAAATGGAGTCCAGACACATACATGTGCTGATTTTGTATTGTTTATCATATAGAATTATAAAGTCACTGCCACTGAGTCAAATCAGACTCATAGTGACCCCTTCTTGGGTTTCCGAGGCAGTATCTCTACAGAAGTAGATTGCCCAGTCTTCCTTCTGAGGAGTGGCTGGTGGGTTTGAACTTCTAGCCTTCTGGTTGGCAGTCAAATGCCTTAGGCACTATGCCACCAGAACTCCCACATAGCATTATACTTATCCCTTATATTACTGTCCTATGCACAAGACCATGACCTTGATAAAAGCAGATACCTACTTACTTACTCTATCCTCCTAGATCTTAGCTAATGTCTGAGTTATAACAGATACTTGGAGAGACCTTTGTTTTTCTGTGCCTTTCTATGTTTCTTTTACAAGGCTAAGTTTACACAGACACACAAACAAGCAAATCAGATAAATGTTGCAGTGAGGAGAGTGGAGGGTTAGTGGGAAATGGATTTAGGGGTTCAGATAGTCTGAGAGTCCACAATTCCAGGACTGAAGTCCTTATGTATAATTGCTTTTCTTATTTCTCCTTATAGTCAGATATTCTGAAAAGCAGCCAAGAATCTTCTTGCCTTTATTTACTACACTCTGGAGCAGATCAAAGTTTCACATATAGAATTCTTATTCCTTCCTTCATTATATTACTGAATAGTTCAGGAAGCCTGTTAATGATTATATAATTCCTTTGCTGCCCTTCAGGCCTGAGAGAGGGAGCAATTTGCTCAAGGTCATTCAGACAGGGATTGGTGAAGGTGGATGTAGGACCCTGGGACTCTTCCTCTCAAGGTGTGTTACAGAGGACTTAACTGAGAACCTGGACGCTGCGCTGGAGGCCATGGATCCGGCTGGATTCTTTGCATCTCACCGGACTGGCCTGGCCCATCAGGGAGAGCATCTTCCTCCAAGTGCTGAAGCCAGAGACACCTTCCTCGCCCATCAGTTCCAGATGGCTGGGACTAGAATTGTCTCGGGCGGAAGCGGATGGCACCTGGGAGCAGAGGGACATCAAGTGGTTCACGGTGACCCCATTCAGGAAAGCAGTTAGAGCCAAGGGAAGTACAAAGGACACCAGAACATTCACCTGTAAAAGCAATTGCAAGAGTTACACCCTCCTTGAGAAAGACTGGGTAAGAGAAGAAATCAAAATTGAAATTCAAAAATTCCTTGAATCAAATGAGAATGAAAACACAACATAC